CGGCCGAAGGCGCTGTCGGGGGAGCCCTGAAATGGAGGCGCGGTTCGGATGCTCAGCCCCCACTGACGCTTCCACACTGCTGTAGCGGCACACCTGGAACCTGTCAGCGCTTTAGAAAGCCTTTCGTGGCAGCTCATACACACAGCTACGGCAAACGGGAATAGCTGAACCCTGTTGCTGTGACACTTCGTGGATGTAGGGAACACAGCAACCAAGTGTTGCTTCAGTATCTTCTCTTCCATGGCGAAAAAAACAGCCTCAGCCCCTGAACATGCAAACGGTTCTGCTGGGCTGTTCCAGGCCCAGCTGCAGAGGCAGTTCCTACTTGTTCACTCTGGGAGAGACTAAACAAACTACAAAACCTTTATGAGCACACACTTAACTGCTTCTGCAGGCCATCCGTGGCACCCCAGGGTTCTGGTAATGCTGTGGTTGGTCATGGCGACACCCAGCTCCCTGTCCACAGAGAAACTGTACTCAGTCTCCAACCAGCCCCCGAGAGAACTGACCCTCTCATGCGACATGAACCTGCCACAAGGACCCTGGGAGGACTGCTGTACCAGGATGATGGTCAGCTGGTAACACTGGATGAGGACAAAGCACTGTTTTCCTGGGTGATGGGGAGACAATGCTGCAAACAGGAATTATTCCAAGAAAACTCTTATGTGCAAGAACCCCAAAGCACAGCAAATTCAAATGTTTTGTGGGGCCTCACAGCACAGCATGACTCCTGCCATAAGGAGGAAACAGCCTGCCAGACCCCTTTCCTCTCACCACAGCAATGGCATAACACAACTTTGTTCTACTCTCATCAGAGAAAGGAGGCTGGGGAGGAGCTGTGACAGGAGGCAGGAGGGTGTAACAGGCTGCACTGCTACGCCACAGCCCACGTGTCCTTCTTAGCCCATCAAGCCTCCAGCAGCTGCCTGCCTGTGCAACAGCTCTTGCCATGGTATGAGCACCTTGCAGCATGTCCACTTGCCAAAGTGTGTGTATTAATTCCCTTTCTTGGTATTGGTAACGATTGCTGTAGTGTTTGCAATGTTAGAAACTAAAAGGCTTGCTCAGAAGAGTTCTGAAAAACAACCCTAAATGCACATTTTAAAAGTGTGGTGCTCTAGAGGATTTGTGTGGACGTTTCTAGCTCTTTCCCTATAGTGCAAAAGTAAAAAAAACAAAACAACAAAATGACACCTCCCTTGTCTAGGTTCCAATACAGAAATAAAACCAACAGCTCAGCTTGCCTGACACACAGGCAAGAGTCAGATAATCCTGTCCAGTTTATTCTCCACTCAGGGGCAATTTGTTCCTTTTAAAGCCCCTTAACAGCATTTTGCCAAAGCTCCCATCAGGGAAATTGTGATGTGAGCTGTACAAATACTTACTCAGCCATCCCCATGCTGCTTCCTAAAGAGCTTATTGTTCCCCCAACTCCTCTGCCAGCACAAAGCACAGCCATGTGGTACTTTGGTGACCAGCATCAATGTTAACACTGAGATTATACCAAAAGGTTTTGCTTCCGGATCGTTCCTCTTAGCTAAGAAGCCCAAGGAGCTCGCAAGCACGCTCCAGTCCGTTACAATCAAAAACAGCCCCACATGAAGCCAGTTTCCGGGGTATACACTATTACCTAAAAACTGCGCTGCCAGGCCCCAGCGAGGATCGAACTCGCGACCCCTGGTTTACAAGACCAGTGCTCTAACCACTGAGCTATGGAGCCGCCGCTGACGGTTTGTCCCGACTGTCACTAAGGGGCAGTCACGCAGCCCTCCCGCCACCGCCGGAGAGGCTGTGTCCCCGCTCCTCGCCGGAAGGGGCTCGCCCTGAGACCGGTGTAGCAGCCGGTGGCGAGCGGAGCCCGCGACTCACCGCGCACTGTACGGGGCGCGCCGAGGGGCGGGCGGGGAGGCCGCAGCTACCTTACCGCTCCTGCCATCGCTGGCTGGTTGCTTATCGCGCTGCCAGCTGGTCAGCGCTGCGGCTGCGTGCGGAGCGTCCAGCCCGCAGAACGGTGCCTGGGACGTTCGCAAAACCAGGAAATGAAACTAGTCGGGAGCGCACACATCCAGTCAAGCAAAAAACCCGCAAGAGGAGAAATCAAAAATAGGCGAATATCTGAAATACGGCCTGATTTTTACAGATCAGGAGTAAAAATTGTCACGACAAAGCCATGTAAGGTGATGCAGGGTGTTCTTTCTGCAAAAGGTTGGGTAGTCTGGTGAAGTCTGAGAGCCGCTGCTGCAGCACAGATGTATTGCCCCGGGGGGTCCTCGAGCATCACTTCCTTCGTGACACCTCTCAGCACTAAGCATTAATCTTAGGGTTTCTAGCATGTTCTCTCACCAGGTACCTGCCAGCCACGTTCACACAGGCTCTGTGGAGGTCAGAGCTAGAAGCTGGAAGCTTCAGGTAATAGCTAATGGGTGGAAGGCAGCAATGCTGTAAGGCCTGTTCAGGAGTAGGGCCCATTCAGTGCTGATGCTGGGTACAATCACTTTTAACAGCACACATTAAAGCAGATGCCTTGCAAAGAGCTTTGACAGCTTATGGCTGGACTGAAGATTTTTGTGTGTGTAAGCTGCATGCAGATAAAATTATTTAAATTCCAGTTGTATGCCTTTCAGAAAGCAATATTCAGGGCCCTGTCTTGATTCTATAGTAATATCTATTTATGTAGAATTCAGAGTTGGATCAGTGGGTGGGAAAGGGATGCAGTGGGATGGCTCATAAACCTGGCTCAGCTTGGAGAAGTCTTCTAAAGAATGTTACACAATGGAATTAAGTCCACAGCAGGATTGGGGTCTGGAGTTACTACATGCCCATCTGTGAACTCAGGAAAGTCAGTGGAATCCCAACTGGAGGTTGTCGTGTAAGTGCATCAATGCACAAGAAGTCCAGAACATATTTAAGCATTATTAAAAAAAACCCAAACACGCAAACACCCATAAAGCCCACAACAACACGTTATGAAAACTTGTTAGATGTTACCATATTGCTCTCTTAAACCTCTGTTGTGTTCTGCTACTACACATCACTGCTAAGGGAGAACAAACAGAAGAGATTTCAGCAAGTCCTGATGGGAGTGGACCTATCACCCCTAGGCAAGAGCTGCCCCAGATTCCCAATATAGGACAAAGAGACCCTCTTCGGACAAGAATAATTGTGCTGGGTTTAGTACTTAATGCCCTTACATCCTTAAGAAAGTCATCAAAAACTAATAGGCACTTCTGCTGATTAAATTAACCTTGGAAAAGCAGACAATTGTGCACTGAAAACAGCAACACAGAATGCAGCTGATTGTTTCAGAGCTGGGACTCACAAGGACAGGATTGCACAAAACCTGTGTGAGAGCTGGCAGCTCAACTGAGGCAGCTGGCACTTACCTTCTCATTTCAACTGGGCTGACAGCTGGAGTGAAAGATGTTGCTGCAAACAGCCAAAGAAACACCTCAGCTATGGTACTTGAGAACAAAACAGAAAGTGGCAGCATCTATAAATGGGAGGAGTAAAGTATATTATGCATTCTTCAGTGGGAGCATTATCAAAAAAACCCAAGCCCCACAATAATAATTAGACATAAATTGTTACCTCTCTTACCATCGTCTTAAATGGCTGAATGTAAGGGTTTGAAAGCTTGGCTTTTTCTGTTCTTGCTCTCTTTTTGTTCTAGGCTTATAATTTACAGCAATAAAACAGGATTGACTGGTTTTCATTTGGTTCTGGAAGACTTGTCAAAACTCTATAGCAGAAATACTGAATCTTGATCAAGCAGTTATTTAGTCCAGAAATGAGTGGCAAGGTCAGGGATGTCTGAATTCAAGACAGTTCTCAAAGTGGAGTTAATTGTGCTTTAAAATTTTTATGTGCTGCCACTTTGTTGCTATGTTCACAACACTTCAGGGAATGTACAGATTATCTCTGAAAACCCCTCTGATTACCATGGAAAAAAGAATCAACAACTAAACCAATTCCTGCCAGTACTCTTCTATCCCTCTAAACTGCTCTATTTTATCTTCTTACCCCAAAGACATTAATATCTACTTGGGAATATTCCTTTAAATGCATATTCTTATTTCACCTCAGTATTACGGAGTATCTCATCTTTTTATAAGAGGGTGATTCTTTGCATGTGAAGTCTAAAAATGCTTGTCTTACTTAAGCTACCAGAATCTATTACTGCAGTAATCACTCCCTCACTAGGTGTACATCACTGCCTGAGCTGGGAAACCCTCCACTTCTCCAGTGCATAGGTATTGACAAAGCTAGTCCTTCAAATACATTTTTAATAACCTTTTTATATGGTGCTATATCACTGAAAGTTCACTGCATTTATTTTTGTCAGTTCAGAAGGCTGGGGTTTCATATGAAAGGATTGGAAAGATTTTTCTGTTAGTGCTCTTCATTTTAAGGGTCCAAAAACATTAATGCTGTGAACATTAGTATTCTGGCCTGATAAGTAATCTGGTTCTGTGCATATTGCACCTGGGCTAATGAGAGAAATCAGAAAAGTAGCTTTGTGGATTGGGAGCTTGGCCAAATTGCAGGGATCTCCTACAGTCGATGATTTCTCCCTCTTTTTTCATTTTTTTAATGTCACCATACCAGAGCAGTGGCATAGGCTGCCTTTCATGTTACCTGAGACATCAAAGGGAAGTACTGAGGACCTGCCTATTTACTGTTTTCCACTGACACTCATGCCTAATGAGTACAACATGCTGCAGAAACAGCATCCCTGTGCACAAGTGTCACTCTAGCCTTTATTGCATCAGAGGTTCTAGATTACAGCTTTCAAGCGCTTAGAAGCTTTGAGCCTAAGTCTGTTCACATCTAGCAACATGGTGACATGCGCATGTCTTGGACCATGAACTGGTCCTGCTCCTGAGCTCACCAGGTGACGGCATCCATTAGGACCCATAACAGGAGGCTGTGGGCGGGGGCAGCAGTGCCTGGCAGTATATTCCTCCATTACGTTGCACCCAGCTGCTTTGTTTCCCATGGCATGTTAGGGGAGAAGCTGCTGCCCGAACAGTCACACACCATTCAAGTTGTTGCATACATACCACCTGAGACTTTAATTGCTGGAACAGGAGTTCCTCTGCAGCAGGTGGCTCCAGTGAACTGACAGATGCCACTTTTGACTCCTGGCTCACACACACACACTCTTAGGCACTCTCCTTCCTTCCTTCCTCAGGCTCGACCCTTGGTTTCCCACAGCAGAGTCTCAGGCATTCAGTTCCATGGAAAAATAATTAAATAATTTAGTGGTACAGCAAAAGGCACAGCTCAAGCTGGAGAGGGACCTTGACAAAGAAATCCCTGGGCAATAATACCCTTATTTATGCACTTGCCCCTCATTTTAGCCCAAAGGGAATTTTTTGGTCTAGGGTATTCTAACACCTTACTGGATTTTTTCAGTGTTTTCCTACCAGCAGGCTGTTAACTGTTCTTATCTTGTTGAGCTGCAGTTTCTGCTGATGGTTGTAGCCTCCTTCTGGTTTGTGCCTCTTGTGCACCTGCTTGTCAGCAGAGCATGGGACACTAAAAAAGTCCTAGACCTAAAATAAACATTACGTAGCAACAACTAAAACATCAACGTGTTATCAACATTCTTCTCACGCTAAAGACAAAACACAGCACTGTAACAGCTTCTAGGAGAATTACTAAAATCTAACTCTATTCCAACCAAAAGCATATCTAGGTGAAAGCCCACAGCTTAGTGCCCAAAGCTTCAGAAATCTAGCTACTCATGCTAAGCAAGTAAAGCTAAGCAAATAGCACACTAGACCACACAATACTGTAACTCTGACTCAGACTATTTAAAACTTACTTGTTTAAGCTAAATAATATCTCTCAACAAGCAAAATCTCCAGTACTGGGCAAGTGAGGTGCCAGAGCAGAAGGTTCCTGCTGGAGCCATGATACAAATGTCTGAACAGTAAGCTTCCTGGCAACGAGGAGGAGACCAAGTCCAAAGGGGGAAGTTTGCAGGGTCAGCACGTGAGGCTTCAAAGATATGGCCCAGCCAGTTGCCTGAATTCCCACTAAATTAAGGGAAGAACCACCTCTTAAGTGGTAAATTGCATGGTCACATCTCTGAAACTTTGTGTACTTCAGGAGCCATCAGTGACTCCTGAAGTGACTGAGAATCTTGCTGAGGAGATGAGCCAAGGAATAAATAAATTTGTTCTGCACATTTGCAATGCTCTTGCCAATGGGTCTCTGGGTTGGGGTGAGGTCCTTGGAACAGGACAGGCCTCCTCTCTGAACTAACAGTGGATTTTGACATCCTTCATGTCTTTCGAGAGCATGAAATTTACTTGCCAGCCATCTAATTAATCTATTTATTCAAGTACCAGGGTAAAATTTCATTTTCTCACATTATACAGCTATAAAGACCACCTGTGTTTTCACTGTGCCAATCTGTTTCCTGAGTGAAGGAGGAATTCCCCAAGAATGGACCAAGTGGACTTTGCTTCCACCAAAATGACTGTCAAAGTCTCTTTGTTTCCCATCACAATAAAAAAAGTCCATTTGCATTTCCCTCTTTTTAATACCTTCTGTATTCAATTCCATCGCTGGTTTATATTTTCGTTAGGAGGGTAGGGCAGGAGGGCTGCTCACTGGGCAGCCCTGTTTTGTATATAAAATAACACTGTAGCAAATGAAAATATCAAAGTGAGTTGTTGGAGTTTTTTTAACAGGCAGGCCGATAGGAAATGATTTCCCCACGGGACAGAGCTAGAGGCCAGAGTGAACTTTCCACACCATTTCATAGCTATCCAGGCTAAGAACAGGCATCAAGCTACAGCAAGGTTCAACAGGTAATTTTCTCTGATACAAAGTGCATGCTGCTTATGCCATTAAACCACATCAATGCAATGCAGTCAGTATTACCCTAACTTGCCAAACTGCATTAACCATAATGGTTTCTCTCCAAGACTGTAAGGTGATGCATTTGGAATAATAGCTGCATAAGGCTGCTGGGAAGTCTGACTGAGTGTTAGCATCTTTGCAAAGGCTCGAGTCCTCCAACCTTCTTGAAACAGGAAAAAAAAAATCTCCCTGTGAACAAGCAATCTGATATTCATATAAAATACCATATTACCATAATTTTTATTTTGCACAGTGTGAAGGAGTAGAAGCAACTCACTCTGCCATTCCTATGGAAATGTCACTGGGCATTATCAGAAGACCAAGAAAGTACAACTATCTCTTTGAGAGCCCTGAGAGCTCTCAAAGGCCCATTTCAGTTTATACAGAGTTTCAATGTAGCCAGTATATTTCATCGCAAGACATATCATCTCTCCAAATCCCTCAGTTACTTTTACTATTTGGGGCGGGGGGGGGGGGGGAAGGAGGGGGGGGTAGAGATTGCCATGTGTTCTATTTCTTTGATTTCAGCTGAATCCTTTGGAAAGCAGAACATCACTGTCCTGGGTTCAGCAGTTGCATCTCAGTTTTGGTTGGGAAAATACTTCAAGTGTTCACGTGGGGCATCCACTGAAACTTCAAGCAGTCTCCTGCTCCTTCTTGCTTACTGTCAGTAGCAATATCTACTGTAAATTAAAACTCCACCAACTCAATTCAAACAGGCTGCAAGAGTGATGACTTCATGATCACCAAGTTGAGCTGCACCTCAAGTCTGATAGTCAATAGTTCTGCACTCTGTGGTCAGGAACCGCAGTTCTATTTTCATGAGCCACTGAGAGGTGGAGAGGTCAGGGCCAAGAAATACCATGGCAGCCCAACCTCGGTGGTTAATCTCAGAGTTAACCCCAACGTGAAATTTGCAGATGGAAATAGGTAGCATTTTTCTGTCTGTACTTAGAAATGAGACACATGGTCCCAGCACTTTCTTAACTACAGTGAAGAGTTTGTGAACTTCAGTAGCCTTCCAGCTGGAATTCTGTCTAACAGAAATCTCAGTTTCAAATATCTAGTTATGGTAGTGAAAAAAAAAAAGCTCTAAGCCAGAAATTAATTGTTTGATATGGAAAGATCTGGCTTTTTAATTAAAAAAAAAAAAAGACAAAAAAAAAAAAAAAGACTTCTTTGCAAATAACAAGTCCAGCTTCTAAAGTAGATACATTTAAGTTTCCAAATATGGGTGGGGAAGTGCTTTTAAAATTGGCACCTGGACATGCCAATTTTATCATTATAATTTTCTTAATGTACTTTTTAAGACCATGTACTCATTATACCCATTGCCTGGTTTATATCACAGTGGTAGTACTGAGCCTTGAAATGGAGCTCTTTGGGGACTCTCTCAATATGCTGGTGCTTTTCACATATTACGTTATCATTATTTATTTACACAAATGACAAAAAGATCTATGCATTTATATCACAATGATTTGAATTCTTGTGGAAGAAAAGTATGTCTGATGAAATATCATCATCACACCTCCTGGCAGTATCTTCAGTGTGTTATTAAGGACTATTCTGTCAAAATGTCAAGTTTCTTGTTTTGAAAAAATCTCAAAAAATTAATTTAAAATTCCAGAATGAAGTGGCTTGGAGGAGCTGTTAAGCATTGTACAGTACATAAAATCAGTCTGTTTCTAATATGGCTGAAAGTCATATTTTAGAAAGCATTTATTATAAGAACTATTTAGATAATGAAAGTGAAGAAAATCTAATTTAATTTTCATCATTTATGCAGTTTGTTTGCTTTTTCATTTAATTCTGCTTGGACAATGAAAGCAGACCGCTTTTGTTCCTTGGCAATGTCAGTTTTCTGGTTGTCATTCACTTGCCAAGGCTGCAGTGATTTGGTTTCAGACACCTCAGGGGAAAAGGTCGAATCCTGTTTTCAGTGGAGGGGTGAGCAGGGGAATTCTTGAAAACACATATAGGTAATTTAGTCAGATCAGAGCCTGCCTGTGACTGCATTGATGACAGACAAACAGCACACACAGACTGTACTGTGAAGTTTTGGGTCACACATTCCAATCTCCAAAAGTCAGTGCAAGACCCACCAGAAAGTGCAGCCGTAAGCCATTCCCTTCCCACACTCACAGACAGGAGGCAGTACTTGGGTTTGATTTAGTTCCAGGAGCACCTGGGTTTTGCTCAGTTTCCAGGACACAGGGAGCTGACACAGGGAGCTGAACTGCCAGTTTGGGTCCCAACAAGGCAAGCTCAATTGGTTCATCTCAGTGTCTGGTTCTGTCTTGTTTAGCATGGCAAGCAGAGCTTGGTGTAAGTGAAGTTGCCTCTGGAGAACAAGAAAGTGATCCACAGCTGTAAGGAGAGGTTTTTCAAAGGTGTTTTAAGTCCTAACTCCAACCAGTGGGATGCAGGCCACTGTCCAAGTTAGAAGTCTACTTACCTGTGACAATCTGGGCATTAGTTCTTGGAAGACAGTTAAGCACATGCCTCTCATTTTTACAGTTTCTGTTAACTGGAGTAAAAGTCCAGATTCAAAGGTCCCTGTCCTTCAGTGAAACAGAGCTAGACTTTATCTCAGTAATGGGCTGAAGCTGGATCCGACATGCTCTAGTTTCCAGGGAGTCTGGGTTCAAATTGTCTGGTTTCAGTACTTCTTTTTTTTTTTATATATTTTTTTAATTCTAAATCCCTGAGATCTTCCAGTGGGGTAAAAGTCTAACTCGGTAGGATCTGTTTTCAAGTCCTGCAATTGCTGAGTACAGGGACATGAGGGATTACAGCTAGGATAATCTTTCAGTTTACAATCCTTCCTCTTGGAGTTGTTAGGATTGTAACAAGGAGATTTTATTATGGTTTAATAATAAACATCCTCAGTCAGCCAAGGCTGTTATAAGAACCTGATTTCTTGCAGATTCTTATACACTAGGGGGTGCAAACATCCTTTTAATGAGCCTAGAAATAAATGGTCTTACCAGTACCAGCAAGGAAAGTGTCTGGTCCTGTACTAAGGCTTATGTGGAAAATATCTCATTTCCTAAGTCATGTTTGGCTCATAGAAATGAATAAATAAGAGCACTGCTCTCGGTAACAGCTTTTTGATGTTTTCTGGGTTTACATATGGAGCAGAGAAGATGCTAACGTAGGAGTTACATAAGAGAAGTCAGAGTAAGCCTGCTTTGCATGCCATTGCCTGCAGCTTTCTCATGTCCTGTGGTGACTCAGACATTGCTGTAAGCTCCATGGAGGGACAGTCTCAACTTTTTACCTCTACATTTTCATATCATTGTGTAACAAGTTAGTCATCTGACTCAGGCACTGGCTGAAGTCCTTATTTCAAAGCACTTATTTTTCTGGTCTTACATTAAGACCTGGCTCTTGCAAGTCATGGTTTGAGGCACAATGGGCTAAGCAAGGCAATATTGTTTCACCTGTATGGGCTTCATCTGACAGAAGTGCTGATTTTCTCAGCTTGTGCCAACAGAGCATTTCAGCATTTACTTGACAGGGAATGAATGGTACTGGCCCTGCTGAATGTGATGGGGTTGCTCACATGCATAAGTGTTTATCATATGTTTACGCACCCAAAAAAGCAATGGAGCAGTGCTGGGTACAAGCACGGAATTCCAGCTCCAGCAACAGTAAGCCTTCAGTCCCTTTGCTTATGCTTCATTACTTACTCATGTGTCTTAAAGACTCACAGATAAGGAGCAGAGCATCTTAAGAGATATCCTCCTCTCCTGATAATGCATACTCCTTTTAGGTCACAAAAATCATTCTGCAGCTACAAAGAAATGCTTATGAATGCAGGATCCTCTAGTGCAACATTTCTTCCTTTGCATTTATTCATACGCTCTTTCCTTATCTCAGTAAGGCATTATCAGAGCCAGAAAGTCCCTTCTCCTAAGTCATGTACACAATTGACTAAAATCTGAACTCATAAATTAAGGTTGGAAAAAAATCCCATGGTTTAATACACTTAGGCTTTTACATTTGTGTTTCTTATATTCCATTTCTCCAAATGCACGAGATTTTGCACGTCTTTGCATCTCAGACACAAATGCCATTGTGATTTATGGAACCCTGCTTAAATACATCAAACTGCCTGACTGCAACTTGGTACCATTCATACCACCAGCTTTTACTTCTCCAGAGTGTTTCATATTACTTTTTTTTTTTCTGTATTACCTTTATGCCACTTCATCACTACATCAAAACAAAACAAGTGGATTAAAGCAGTTTAATGCATTATGGTTAAATATTTCTTTCTAAGGGAGAGCAGACCATTCAGAACACCATTAAGACAGAATCCTGATTGAATCTGGTGCAGCCATAAACTATCTTAAATGAATGTTAATAGAGATGGACAATTATAGTTGACTTCAGAATGCAAACAAGAACTTCAAACACTGATTCCTATCAGCCTATTAGAGCTGGCTGAATTCTGCACACTGTTATAACAGTTGCTTAGCAATGGCAAATAAGCTGTTCTGTCTCTTATCACTAGAGGTATAGTTAGAACAATACCTATTATTGAACTGAATAGGTATGAAATTAGTTTATGTTGTTCCTCTTTTTCAGATGGCACTTGGCAGCAAAGTGAGCTGTTTAGGCTGCCAGCAGAAGCCATGTTGTTTTTTTTTTCCTGGAGCTATCTATGGAGATAAAATGAAACCAAGGCTTTGCTGTGGATGTTTATCTGAAAACATCATCAAAAAAACTTTGCTTGTGTTTGTGTGTGCAGGAAGAAAGAGGTTCTCCTTCAAATGTCTTCTTTGAGTTAATTTCCAGGGATGTGACAACACTAACAACTACAGCCTATTCAAAAAGCAAATGCAGCAATACTGCATTGCAATGCCACCTCCTCCCTCCTTCCCTCACAGGCACCTCTGATGAAATACCTCAGCTCTGATCTGGGGAAACATACTGGAGA